TAATCGATTGCCGGTGGTTTCTTCCCAACCATCGGGTCTTGTATTTCCTTCGAGTTTTCCTCCAAAAGAGGAGTCGGCCTCGAAGACGACGGCTGCGGGGGGTTACGATTGCTCTCTAAGTGAAGCTTTACCCGCTATAGAAGCCTGTTTTTTCACTAGAACACCGTGTAACGGGCTGCGCCCAATCTTCTTTCTTACTCCAAGAACATTTTTGGGCTTTTTCCTGATTTGGGCTTAACCTTTTGCCTGAAATTTCCAGGGCCTATTTCTTCTCTTTTTTTGTCAATTGGATCTAATGCTTGAAAAAAGCCCTTGAGAGGAGAGATAATGCCTTCAAACCCTAACTCCGGCTGAGCCATCCTCACCGTAACTTTATCCAGTCAAGCCGCTGCCGTCACCATTGTCTGCCGATCAGCCGTTGCCCGTCGCCGCGCTTCATCAACATCTTTCCAGAGACTCGCGTTGTTAGCACTGTGGGCTCTACCAGCGAATCTCGGAACCACGGAGCTCTTGCAAACTCGGGATTCACCGTCTCCTCCCTCTCCGGCGGTTCCGTCTCACCGTTCTTACTCATCTCCTCAGTACGCCGCCGCCCAACTCTGACTAGATTTCTGACCGGAGAACCAACAGGCGACTCATTCATCTCCCTAATCGCCGGCCGTTTTCCGAATCTCTGTTCTTCTCCAGTTGTCGCATCCGTCTTCCTAACCCAACTCAACATGGGAGCCGCCGCCACTCCTAGTACACTCGGGTCTTTAGAGACTGAGGAACCTTCCTCACCGAAGAGATTCCTACGGACCGGTTTCCTCACGGCAGACCCAGGTTTTACCGGTGTTACCTCCCTCTCCGGTCGGTGGGGATCACTTCTGCGTTCCTGAATAGGAGCCTCGCCTGCGTTATGCCGGCCGTGATTACGTCTCCTATTATCAGTCACTTCGATATCAAAATTTACCATTTAAAATATATATGTTCAAAATTTTGTTACATACATATATATGATCATCATAATAATCATGTTATCTAATTATCCATTTACGATTTTAAAGATAAAATTTATCAATCATTTTTTAATATGTCTTTATAGTATGATTACTTATCATTTTTTCTGTCATTTATCTTCATTTCGTGAGTTTATACATATTTTGATTTTTTTTAATCATATTGAAATTTTTGAGATTTTATGATATTAAAATTTAAAGGTTGGTCTTTCTAATACCGTTAAAAAATAAAAGAGTTAAGATACTTTTAGTTAAATGCGTGGTTAAGAAAATGAAGTTGATTGAATGTAAGAATTTTTTTTTTTTTGAGGTACAAACCTTTTAATAAGAAATAGACCGTTCATATTTTATGAAATATATAAGTTTTAAAAATAACATAAAATACTCTTTTTCTTTTAACATTTTAGAAATATGATTAACGTCAGTTCAATTTTACTAATTGTTTCAAATATAAATTCATAAACGACCGGTCTATGCTTCATATCTCTGTCCGGTCTTTCATGCTGTCGAGGTAAGTCGTGATATCTTTTGGTTTTCATTGAATTCAAACAAAAGTTGCAGGTCAACACTTAATTCCGTATTTGATATTTATAGTATCGCAATGAACAATTAATGATCATCAGTTTAACTGGTTACACTTTCTATCTATGATTATCTGCGCGTGAGTTCGAAGTCACCGGTTTGAAGTCATGTTGTGACACTGTTTTGCAACTTCTTAAAATTTTCACAAAAATGTCCGTGCTTTGTGTATTTGATATTTATATTAGCACAAAGAACAATAGAATATCCTCTGGGTTACTGGTTACACTTCATATATACTGCCTATCAATGACTACCTGCCCACGAGGTCGAAGTCCTGTTTTGACACATTT